TGGTGCAATAAATAGCTTTTCAGTTTCTTCTCTTTTTTCTTCATAAACCCGATGAAGTATGTCAAACCTAATTTTTATTTTTGTTTGACAATGATGATAACTAATTTCTCAGGGAAAACGATATACTCTTAGTTCTAAGTTTTGATTTTTATTGTATTGCGTATTTTTTTTATTATATTGATGATTGTAGTTAATCATCTGATCAGTAATTAATTGATATCTAAAAGGTAGAGACTGAATTATTTATTTAGGCCAAATAGTAAAAGTGGTGATTTAGCTAAAAGGTGGAGACTTTTAGAATTATTGTGGTCATTAAATGATTTTGTTTGCTATATAAATTTATTTAATTATGTTAGAATTCACATAGAGAAATAATGAGTTTACTTAATTAATTAGAACTGAATTTGCTTGAGAGAGATTTTCAATTAAATTTAAGAAGTCCGACCTAAGACATGTTGATAGATGAATTTTCGCAAATGCATGATATCGTAGATAAGTAATAATGTAGTAAATAAAGTGTCGTCCAATGGAGACTACTTAATCTAGTTCTAAATTAACTAACTCTAATCAAATACTCAATTTTTATTTTTTTTGTATTTTTAAAACAAATTATAAATTAATCTAATTAACAATTAAGGAAGCCTTTGCGAAACCTATAAAAAGTGCTAATACTTGGATTCCCCCATTTTTAATATATTTAAATGCAATGACAACGATGACAACACTTTTTTATACTTATTAATTTATGTTCCTATTTTATTTAAAAATTTCTCTCAGATAGAGACAAACTTATCTCACACGTGATCTTACTAAATTTATATAACATGAATGAATGTAGTATCCATGTAATTTAGGGAAAATTGCAGCCGCGGTCTCAAACCTTTTCGTTTTTTGTAGATTTTACCTCAACCTTCACTTTGTGCTACCACAAATCCCAAACCTTTGAGAAATTTGCACCGGAGGTCCATCTTGACGGAAATCGTCCAAATCACCGTTAGTCAACCTGAAAACTAAAAAAAAGAGATAATTTGACCATTTTAAGGGGGGGCATTTCCGTCCATACATTAATTTTCTTTAAAAAAATAACTAAAAGAAAAAAAAATCACCATCTTCTTCAAACACCCCACCTCCACCCACCCAACGCCAAAATCCCATCGCCACTGTGGACACAACACCACCTAGCAGTGGCAACGAGCCGAGCCGAGCCGAGTCCGAGCTTTTTTGGACCGAGCTTTTTTTGGCCCGAGCCGAGCCGAGCCGAGCCGAGCAGGACCCGGCCAAAAAAAATGAGGCTCGACCCGAGATTTAGGCTCGAGCCTTAGCGAGCCGAGCCGGCTCG